CCACATGCATAAATAAGTGGTGAAGGTATGGGGAAGTAAAGAAGTGGTTACAGGCTCCTTCCATTGGCTGCCAGTGACAGGACAAGAGGCAAAGGGCATAAACCAAACAGGAGTTCTGTCCGAACATCAGGAAACACATTTTTACACTGACGCTGGCCAAGCACTGCCACAGGTTGCCCAGAGATCTTGTGGAGTCATCCCTCTTGGAGATCTTCCAAAGCCATCTGGACACAGCCCTGAACTGTGTCCAACCAACTCTGGATGTCCCTGACTGAACAAGGGGGTTGGATTCCAGAGGTTCTTTTTAGCTTCAGCCATTTTCTGATTCTGTGATTTATTTTGGGCGGATGAACTTTAGTCTGAGTTACTTGTATTTGGTAATGTCACAATCACACATGCCCTTGCAGCAGAAAAAGGTCTCACGGAAATGAAGTTGTATTACCAACTCTGTCTTGAAATTGCAGACAGGGAGGTAGATATCCACAGTACCACAGAGATCACAGCAGAAGAGAGGACCAAGTTCTCTACTGAGAAATATCACCAAAACTCCTTCAAACAGGAGGCCTTTGGCAGGTAAATGATGTGGATAAGATTACTTGTTTGGCTTGGATTGTGTCTAGAGCCACTCTCTGAGACTGTACATATACAGTCCAGCAAATGTTACAAGATAGCATATGCTATCAGTATCAGTGCTTAAATCTGTGGTCGTGCTGTATATTTATATGCTTGAACCACGGGGAAATCAGTCCAGCCTCAGGTCTTTAAGAGTGGCATGAGAACCCTAGCTCTGTGGGACTCCTTGCAGCTCCTAGGTACAAAGGGACTACATGCTCAGTGTCCTTGGTTTTAGTGGGATCCAGGCTATGCCCTGGATCAGATGGTCATTCAGATGCCTCCAGCTTGTATGCTGACAAGGTTAACCCTGGGGATGAAAGGACAGGAGGATACAACACTGGAAAAACACAAGTCAACTTTAATAGTTAAAACAATAAGGTGCACAATTCAAGGCTTTTCACAAACTACTTTTGCAAATTTGTTGTTAATAGCCTGTGGAATGTTTCAGTGTATTATAGTGCATGACTAGAGTTATGCTGAAAGCATTAGTTATGGCACAAAGTTGGTCAGCTGAGAACACTATTAACTGCAATTCTCCATTTTCTATGGGGTGAACTGCTTGGGGCATAGACTCATTTAGAGCACTGTGTGCAATGGACTACTTAGTTTTTATATAAAATTGTAATGAAAACAGAGATGGAGTGATCACATCCCACTCATTCTTCTTGAAATTCCTTATGAAGTACTTCTCGTTCATCTTTTCCCTCTATAAAAAATAAAATGTTCAGTGAAGTGTTATCAGGGAGGGGACTGAAGGTTGTGTGGTTCCCAGCTGACACTTTAGAGAAGGCTAGTTTTTATAGTACATTCACAAACTACACTGAACTTATAAAGGTCTAAGACTTTCTTCAGCTTGAGAGCTGAAGGTATGGCAGCAGTGGGTGAAGTAAGAAAGGACAGGAGGTCTGTATGGAACAGTATTTTCCATTCAGTTTCAGAAAGCAAATCCATAACCTGCTGCCAATTTTCTGTCATTTGTTTGGTGGTGATGGCATGCTGTAGAGTGCCAAGCTGAGCATCCCATAGATCTTATGCATAAAAAAAAAATGTGTAGGAAGCTGAAGATATATCTCTTGTAACAAAACAACACATAAGGGCTGTACATCACTGAAATCTCCTTTTTTCTCTCAATTTTTCATTATCACCCTGCAGCAGTTTGAGTTTGTCATCCTAAAGCTACAAAACAATTTTATTCTTATGCTAGATAATTAAAAAATTCATACTGAATACACAATGTGTTGGAAAAATTAAGTATTAGATCATAGCTCTGTGAAAAAAGAGTAATATGGATTATCCACAGAGAGTTAACTGTTATGAATACTGCATAGCTGGGATACCTCTTCTTTCCTCTGATTTCATCTGTGAGAGATTGTTGTGGTGATATGTGTTTGATCATACATCTTACTTTAAATAAAATCAATATCTGTTCTTCCTTTTGTCCCACATTTTCATGAATTTAATATTCTTTATCTTGCTGGATGTAAGATTGAAAATCCTAGAGCTGTCACTGTCCTCCTAAACTCTCTATTTCAGGGTCAACACAAGGATTGGTCATGGTTTGCTCTGCTAAACTGAAAGTATAGGAGGGCTACAAGGTTTTCATGTAATCTTTCATAACCTTTTCCCTTTTAGCTTAAGCTATGCTCAGTTTCATTGCAGTCTTGAGCCTTTTGTTCCTCACTTGCTTCAACTACGTCTTGAGTATTCTGAGGGGAGAGAAGGAATGTGTTGAAATGCCCTTTAGGTCTCTACCCTGCTGGAGGAAGGTTAATATATTGGCATTAAGCAATGAACTGACAGTTTTGGCCAGTTATTTCAATGGCTTCTTTCACTGCAGTGTCTAAATGCCTCACAAAAATCTGTGTGTTTATTCTTATTGTACCACCCCCCAAATGAAAACACAGAGAAAAAGAGACCTGTGCAGCTCAGGCTGACAAAGTTGACAGTAAAACAGAAGACTATTCAAGTCTAAGTAACAACCCTGTGCTTCAACTTGAAACCTTTCTCCCAGCTTTGCAATGTTTGCCTGGTGTGGTCCTGCTTTTTCCCAAACTGAATGGCTGCGGTCAGACCATTCTATGCTGTGCATCTTGTAAAACTGTGAGACCTTGTCAGGAAATTTTTGACACGTGCAAGCAAGTAACAGTCATCTGTGCACACAAGAGAACTGTCAAGTATTCCCTGAGATGTGAAGGAGGGTCTTGACTCCAAGCCTGTTAGAAGTAGGCAATGTATCAAACAAGGTAAGGAATATTCTGTGTGAAACTCACTCTGAATCAAGCTACATCAGGCACAAGACAGACAAGATCACAATTCTTTCTCCTGAGATAAATTACAGAGAATCTACCTAGAGGTTAGCTGCAGGCTCACGTAATTGATGCTAATATGCTAACTGTAGCAAAGCCTGGACTCTAGCCAGCATAAAGCTGTGTTACATCATTGGTAGATGATCTCCTGGCATTAATGGGTACAGAATGATCTCTTTGCCTTCAGTATCCATTTATATTTTATCTCTGTCACTGTAAGATGCTGCTGTCTCATCCAAGGGTGCTAGAATGTGCTTAAGTCATGACAGATGTTATGGGTGGGAGTTACCTAATGATTTGGAACAGAAAAACACCGTTCCATCCTTACACCTCATTTAACGGATCCAGATATTTGTTACATTCTCTTCAAAGTTATTCTGTCAAAAAGTACTATCACAGAACAAAAAAGAACAATCACTGTCTCTGATGAGAGGCATCTCTGTACTACTTTGGCCACCATGGCAATCAGGCCAAGTATACTTGTGGTCCTTGTTGGTGTTAAGAGTACTTGTGGCCTCATTCGTGAATAACATATTCTAAAATCTCCATTTGCCCCAAAGTCTCCATCATATCCTGATGAATGAAGACCTGTCTGTATTTAATTACTTCTCCAAAGATAAGCAAAATCCTTGAACACTGACCCTTCGGCAGGTAAATGTTAACAGTATAGACCCTTTGGTTGGCATATATCCTTGGTGACCAGGCTCCCACAGTCCATCCAAATAGTGATCCATTCTCAGGGGTGAACTCCAAATAAAATTTTGGATATGGGTTAATGGCTATCTAAAACTCAAATATATTTAAACTGTCATCTTGTAACTTTGATTAATTGCATACTTTTCTTCTACCAGATCTCTGGCTGCTGATTTTACTCTTTTCAACTGAACTAGAAGTGCTGAAGACATGTACAGCATATCCAGACTCCACAAGCTGTCATATGTTATTTTGTGCACGCACCAAAAATAGTTCCAGGCACCTCCACAAGCAGGTTAGTTTTGGTAGCACTGCACATGACACAGTCAGTTCTGGAAAATATAACTTCTGTTGCTGTAGACACAGGTGAAGAATAAATGGCAAGATCTGTAAGGAGCAGAGGGGAGATTTGGGGCACATATGTGTCCTTTGGTGAGAAAAGTCGATCCATTTTCTGTATATCCTTAATTTCCTGGGATCACAGCATACTAGTCTAAATTATTAGTGGTGCTTTTCCACAAGAATTGCTTTGGCAAGGATTTAGTTAGAATAGACATCAGGACTTAAAGATGGTTTAAAAAGTCCTTTTGAATGTTTCTCCATTTAATAACCAAAATTGAAATGTTCCCTGGAAGCATGACTGCAGCAATAAAATAGTGACGAAATTCTAGAAGAGCTGAACTCTTGCCTGATTTCCCACCAGCTTGCCTATGAGTAAGAGGAGCCTATGTAGAATGACTATTGGAGTCTGTCATGTTCATATTTCTTCTCATGGGGCTGTCCTGCCTAAGCAACTGGGGAAATCCTTCCCTCTGTCAAGGGAAGTGCTGGAATTTTTACAGTAGATGAAACTGTAACTTCAGAGGTCTGGTCTTAATCTTGTTAGCACCTTTGGCTATAAAGAGACCATTTTATTCTTATTGCAATTCTAGGCTATCCATGAGACAGGACAACTTTGACCTTCTGAGCCAAGGTCAAATCTGACTGCATCTCTTACACTAAAATGGCAAATCATTTCCATTAAAAAGAATAAGTGTTGTGAATACTGTTCTGCTGAAAAAGGCTAATTATAAGATTGTGGCAGGTAGTATTTCTCAATAAAATATCATTGACAGGAATGAAACTATATTCTTTTGAAAAGTCACCATGTTACAGAAAGCAATAAACAAGAGAAAAATCAATAAAATTGTCCCTGATCTGAAGCATTGTATAGCAACTGTTGAGTCAGGGCCTGAGCCTCTGATTGATCACCTGAGGCAAGCACTGAGTCAGCCATGGAGCACAGGTGAAAGCAATTCAGCTGTGTGACCAGAAGGGGTGGAGCCTGGCTGCACCTCTCCTAGAACCCATTTAAGGGCTGACTCCAGGGAGGGAAGGGTCTGTTTCTGGAGATCCCTCCTTTGTGGGGTATTTTCTGCAAACCTTTAGATCTTTAGATGTAGGTGAGTATTCTTTCCCTGTTTGTTTCTTTTTTCCCATTTTCACCACGGTAACCTTTCTAGCTGTAAAACTAACTGTAAGAAGCATGTAGGAAGAATGCCTAACCTCAAAGTATTCTGCTCAGTAAGAAAAAACTAGTGGATAAGATGAAGGTTGTTTTTTTTTTTTTTTTTTTGTTTTTTTTTTTTTTTTGTTTTTTTTTTTTGAGGTACCAACAATTGTCCTATTAATATGTAAGGTTTATGTGTGTAAATTAGATATAAGGTGCTCATTTTCTAGATTAATTCATGTAATTTAGTGGTCTTGTATTTCACTTGGCTTATAGTGTGTATGTATATATATAGTATATAGTAGATGCTATATGTCTTGCAGGTAAACTAAAAGGTGATTCTGGTGCCTTGTTGGAGTTGTTAGATTAGATCAAACTCCCAGGGTAAAACTATAATGTAGCTGTTTGTATGAGATGCACATCAATTCCTAAAGCTTCTCTAAAACAAGTGGCTGGAGCACATGTAGCAAGGTGATTCCTTGGTGGCATCACCTTGTGCTAAAAACACACATTTCTGTAGGGGCAGTTTTTTAGACATGAAAAACTTCTCTGAATTTACTCCCACAGTAAGTGGCAATAGTGCTTAGTATGAGATGTAGCCATTTCTAATTACAAGGGCTCTGTAATATTTCCCCCTAGCAGCAATCTGCTCACAGCAACAGAGCAGCTATTTGATGCTGAGGCTGCTATGACAGGTACTTGAACATATAAATAGAATTATGCTTCATAAGTGTGACAGCATCACATGGCTGAGTGCATGGAAGTGCTGAAGTGAGAAAAATTCTTCTAACCCCATAGTGATCAGTGTGCTGGTATTACATTCAGTGATGACCTCTGGAAGTGATAGGCCTGGTTAAACCCATGAATGAAGCACTAGTGGCAAGCTTTTGTTTAAACTATGACTGTGATGAAATTGATGAAATTAATATTTGTGATGTAGATGTGAAAGTTTACAGTGCTGTATATGCATATACCCATGACGCTTTGCCTTCAGCTTTCTGTGTCCAGTGACGCTCCCAGAAGTTCCTTTGGGAGGTAGGGGAAATGAACATATTGTACATAAATAGTTTCAAATAGTGAGAAGAAGCTGCTTCTGCAGATGCAGAATGTCTTTGGATGCATTAAAGGTTCAACTAGGCAACCTGAACCATTTAGCAGAAGGTCAGATTTGACCTCTGTACCCTCACTTCTTGATTTCTCTTGCCTCCCCCTGAATCAAGCTAACCTTAGTTTTAGTTACTAACCTTAGTTAGTAACATAACTCAGTTTATGCCTCTTCAAATGGAGGATGCTTTACCTGTTATGGTAACAGTTGTGTCATGAGTGTTGTGTCATTTCTCATAGATGGATCTGGTCAAGAGGAATATTTTGCCAGAAGCTAAGAATAATTTGGTGTAACTTATTGGTAAGTACTATGAGTTTGAGACTTGCTCTATGGCAATGGGAGAAAATGTGAATGGAAATTTGTCAGCAGGTTGTAGTTTTCTTCTGTTCAAGAAATTACTCAAATGTCAGAAATACTTAGGTAATTTCTTTTTTTTTTTTTTTTGGCTTTCTATTTTACTTTTCCTTGTCTTCCTCACTGACCACAGTAGAGTATGACTCTATGCTATGACGAAGACTGCAATTAGTAATTTTATATGCAAGAAGAAACATCTCAAAAGAACAGTGGGGTAACTTGTTTTCCACCATATGCACGGGCATGTATATGACAATGACATACTTCAAGATGAACCGGACATTTCCTGGTAAAAATGACCGATTCCACCTTCCTGCAATTCAGTATCATATTCTGTAGGTGTTCCGAACAGATTATGCCAATGAAACTCTGGAGGTAAGAGTAATTTTTTGTCTCTCTTGCACAGTCTGTCTCATTTCAGAGATACAACAACAAGAATACTTTCTCTTGAAATCCTAATAAATGCACCATTTTTAGATATAGTTTGATTTCATGCTGTCTTGAAAGAGTGATTGACTTCGATTTCTGAAACCCTGCACACAGCATAAATAGTGCAAAGCTACCTTTCCCATTTCTACAGTATTATTATTAGAAACTTGCAAAGTTTTATTTCTATTTAATCTTCTGTTTCATGCCTCCACTGATACCGAAATCATTATCAAGTGTAATTTTGATGTGTTACCTCATGCAGTGAATTACTGAAGTCAAGAGCAACAAACAGAATGAAGACCAGTCTGCTTGCAGTCCTGTATAGCTTCACTGATGTCATATCTATGTTCAACTTCAGTTCAACGTAGAATAGACATCTACTTAGTTGGTTAGCAGACTACAGATTTAAATTCTCAGCCTGTTCCAGTGTCAACTATAGTCAGTGAAAGTCTGCACTAACTTCAAGAGGCTTTAGATCAGGTCCTACTACTTGAATATGGAATAGAAATGAATTTATTATTATCTTTTACTTTTATGGATAAATGATATGAGATGAATATAAGATGGTAAAATGGGTAACTATCTAGATGACAACTGCATCACTGGATTGGAACATTCTGGCTGGAGCAGGCATATGTAGTTGTCAGGAGAGACAGAGGGATAATTGTCTCTTTTATCCTTATTTTGTGATTGTTTTTCCTTTTGTAATTTGATTTCTTTTAATTTGATTTTGAAACTTTAGACATCTAACATAAATTGGTTTGAATTTATATCCACTAAGAATCTGTCCAACTTATGCTAAGAAGTAAAATAGAGTTTATTCCCTGATTCACAGTGCAAAGTGTGGCTGTGGGTTGTACCAATTCCCCATGACTGCAAGCTTCTTACTTCACCACTTACAAACACCTGGAACATTACATCAGTGGCTTACTTGAATTTTCACCCTTGTTGATCATCTTGGCACCTATGAAAGCTGAGTGTGACTCTTGCCTTTTCAGAAAACACTCATGGTATTAAGTGAAAAGAAAATAATGACTGTAAAGGATTTATCTGCAGTATTATTTCCTATTACACATTTTGCTATTGCTTTGAATTTTCTTCTTCCAGGTTTTAACTAACCTTCCAAGTCCATAATCATAACCTGAAAAGCAGGACTGGACATGCAGATTAACACAACTGTCCTGACCAAAAATCACATAATTGCTCATTCTTGCTGAATGAGAGATCATACAAATGCTCTATAATCTCATAGTACCCCTTCATAAATTGTTCAGCAAGTTGGTTACCTGATGTAATTATTGGGAGGATAATTTCCTCTGCTGTTATGTTATGTACCTGTCTATCACAAGCTTCAGTTGAAGACCCACAGTTCTTGTAGCAGGAAATGCAGCTCACAGTTACTTCCTCTTCAACATCTCGATGCCAATCATGATTTTTAATGATCATTATCACACCAAAAATATTTTTTCAAGCTGAGAAATCACAGCTTGCTCAATTGCTCTTTGTACAGATGTTTTCCATTTCAGTTTATCCTCTGTGCCTTTCTTGGAATATTTTCTATTTCTAATGTATTTCAGATACAGAATTAAAACTGCATAGCTTTTGTGATGTGGGCAAACTGTGGATTCACATAGTGGTATAATTATCTTGTCTATTCTGCTGTACATTTTCCTACTAATTCCTAACATTTTATTCACATTTTTTGTTCTTTTTGACTGCTACTGAACAATAAGCTGATGAACTCATTGAATGATTTTATTTCTAGTATTAATGCTGAGCTCAGAGCCAATCATTAAAGATGTGGCATTAGGACTACTTTAGTGCTTATCACTTCACGTTTATCTGTACTGACAGCTATCTGCCACTGTGACCTACCTAGGCATTCAGTTTTGTAAACTGTGCAGTTCTTCACAGTCAGCTCATTTACAAACATGCTAACAAGAACCATTTCCCACGCATGGCTGTGGATGTCCACTGGCTACTGACCTCCATTGTATGAACTGGCTGCTCGTTGCCAAGAGTTTTGAAAGGCTAATGGAGTTTATATGTCCCTGAAAAACAGAGGATAACAGAAAAAAAATCTGTGGGGTTTTGCCAAGACCTTTCTTTCCTTAAAGCTGGTGCTACTCGTGACTGAAGACTACCAATACTTACTGTCTTCTGCTCATTTTGTGAGTTTTAGTTCTTCAACTGTATATTGATTAAATGTTTTGTATGTACTTGTTTTCCTGGTGAACATTGCATGGCTCTCCATGACTATATTCCTTATTTTATCCCAACTATATGTGCTGTTTGTAGAGTATAGAGATGCATTATCTGTTCCTACAGAGGAGGAAGTCCTCAACATAGATCTGGAACAGCTTGAAGAATTTAAATATTTTGGCATATGTTGCTAAGACCTAAGTCATGCTAGAGTGCATCTATGTGATAGCCTAGACAGGCAGTGTGATACAAGTGCTATTCTAAAGATTATGGGAACTCTTACTGCTTTCTTCTGGGATATTTGTAGGATGACTTCCGTAGTAATCAAATGTTCCTTCAGCAATTCAGAATCACTTAATGTTCCTTTAAAAGTATACGAAATGTTAGAAAAGTTCAAAAGCTCAGCCTGTTCCTGTTTCACTAAGATTCTTTCAGTTTAAGTGGATTACCATAAAGCAGTATTGACAATTGCTCAGGCAATTGCACAGGATACAACTCTCCATCAGCTGAGCAGAGGTAATTAGGTTGAAAACCTGGCTGCATTAGTTTAATTCAATACAGTACCAAAGATGTACAATCAGTGATACAGCATATCATCTCAGCACTATGTCAAATAAATACCTGTTTTCGGCAAAAAAAAAGTGCAAGTTGTGCTGGAGATATGACTAATGGGAATGGTTTTTGGAGCGTGTGTTTGCACTGCAAGGAGTGATGACAGTTGGTTTCATCTGGAGTAATTACAGCTCAGTGACCACTAGTTGGGTAATTACTCAGAGGAAATTCTCGGAGGGTAAGGAAGCAGATCTCAGTTTTGTGCTGAAAACTTATCTAATATGATTTCCTTACATATGAAAGGAAAAACATCCTCTCCCAACAGGAAGGCAATGAAAACAGAGTAACAGAAAGATGTATTTATTCAGGGCTCAAAGAAAGTTGTATTTCCTACGTGATATATATATATATTTTCTGAATGTTATAGTGTCAGTTTTGGTCAACACAATGTCATGAACTTCTTGAACAGATTAAAGAGAGCAGGAAGGTGGTTTTGAGAAAGTACTCTGTCATATGCGTTACTAATGCACCATGTCTCAGAAGGAGCAAAGTACTATGTAATTCAAAAACTATGCATACAGTGAATGCAATTTATGATACATACTTCATGAAATATTGTGAAAATGTTGTTTCTTGAAATTACGTTAGAATGCTTTCGATCTCCAGGAAGGGCTTTCTAATCAGAATGAATGTGTTAATTCAAGAATGTGCCTAGACTATGAATTCAGGACATTCTCTGGAAGGGCAAGGAGGTATTTTACATTTGATACTTAAGAGTACAGTTCCAGAAAGCAATTGAATAGGGACAGGATGTTATGTACTGGAGCTCTATGTGATAAAGTGTTCCCTGTTCTCAAAGCATTCCTGCTATTGGAGTAAGGAGCCAAGGAAAGGGGAATCTTTACAGAAGAAGAGAAAGTCAGAATCAAGAGATGTTGCCAAGGCTCTTCTGTTAGATTATAAGACTATCTTCTGTTTTGTTCTTCTGTTATAGGGATAACCTGAAGCCTTGAAGTCTGTCAAACCTTTGCAGAACTACTTGTCAATAAAGCCATGTTGGGGCTACAGAATTCTACCTGTAAAAAATCTGGTCTTTAAATGAATACTATCCACTATCTTATAAAACATATATTCCTTTCTTTGTGTATTCCCAAGCCTGCCTTTAAATTCATAAATGTGGCACAGCATGAGAACTGCTTTGTCTCCTTATAACCTAGATGAGAACAGTTTGCAAGGAAAAAAGAAAGCCATCTTTCAGTGAGATCCATCAGTTGCTCCGTAAAAATAGAACACTTGACACAAAGAGACATTAGTGTGTTTTACTGTGGAAATTTTAGTACCGTGTATGTGTAGTGGAACTGTGAAACACCAGCTTTTCTGACAGAACTTGGAAGTTTCCAAGAAGGAATCAGCATGCGCTCACTGCAAATTCTGCTGCAGGCTTGATGGGGGACTCAAGGCCTTCTGAATTAAACTTGTTTTTGAAGAAACTTTATTTTGTAACATTTTACATCTCTGTATTGTCATTTTCAGAACAGTTAAATCTACCTTGAGGAATTGCTGTTTGAATTAGTCTATGTAGTCAAGCTTCCAGTAAATAAAGAACATTTTATCTCAGATCTTTATTATAAGTAAATAATGTCTGTATAGAATACAGTATCTAATGTCTAGATCAGCACAGAGTGAGCAGATCAGGTCTGAGCCTAAACACCATAGCATATTGCATTGGCTGAGCTACCTCTTTACAGTGATTGTAATTTTAGCAGTGATGGCAATAGTAATTCCTTTAGTAAATCACAATATGCTCCCTAAACAGAAAGAGCTTTGCAATTTCCTGAGTGAATGGAAAAATAATTTTGTAGGATCAGTAAAGATAGAGATAATTATTATAGGATTTATTGTAGTTCGTGTGAAGAACTTCAGTTGCTCACGGTAGCCTGTCAGAAGTACAATACCATGCAAGTGGAGACCATAAGTGTAGCATAGTTTAAAAGGTTAACTTTTTGTTGCTGAGTAAAATAAGAGCTTATAAAGAGGTGAAGTGATTTCAGAAGCAGCAAAGATCCCAATGCTGCAATGCCATGTCACTTCAAGACAACAATGTGAATGTTTTCCAAGAGTCGCTCAGAACTAAGTTGTTACTAGTAAGTGGAAACAACTTCCTTCTCCACCCCCCAGATTAAAAAGGCTGTTGATATTCCAACACTGAGAGGCAGTAAAATACTTCAGTTGGTGTTTCCAGCTCTACAGATAAATAGACATTCCCTACTTGCTTACTTTCAAGACAGCATGAAACTGTATTGGGAGTGTTGGAAGCAGCCAGCCTTCCTGCAACCCTTTACCCTTTAGGGTACCCTTTAGGATTGAATCCCAAGGGGCTCTCTGTACCAGTGTCCTGAACAGTTCAAAGTCTGCCCTCCGGAAGTCCAGGCAGTTTTGCTGTCCCCCCTGACACCCTCCTTCCTGACTTCACCAAGAATCAAGAACTCTTCCATTTTGTGGTCACTCTGTTCAAGACAGCTCCCAACCTCCACATCTCCCACTAGTCCATATCCACGTATTATTTTGATATGAGAAATCCAATTAATCTTCTTGTCTATGCATTGCATAATACAGAAAGGGCAAAAACTTTTGACTCATGATAGAGTGTTGAATGTGTGCAAAGAAAATTTAAATTTCAATTCTTTTTCTACTTTTTCTGAATGCTTTTTTGAATTACAATGTAGTTTTCATTTTCTCAGCCTTAAAAGCATGAAAATGTTGAGGAACATCTTGGCAAGGTGGTTATCTCTAAACCCTGCAAATGAATGAGTCTGAAAATGTTAATCTTGTATTTGAAGCTTTCCAGTATTTTATGCTGCAGTTACTTATTTGCTTAAGATAGGGATAATGAAAAGACATCTTCAACAAATGAATACTTTATTCTCTTACTCTCCTTTTACGATAACTTCTACAATATATTAAAATTAAATAATGAAAGCTTGCAATGCTTATGTTGATGAAATTCAGCAACTTTTTCCTTAAAATAGTGTTCAGAAAGTACAAAGAATTTCTGAAGGACCAGAGCTTAACAAAAATCTGGATGCTTACTGCGTACAGAACAATATGTGAGTAACTCCATCCTTTGTATGCATACCTGTATTTTGGAATAGACTAAGATTTTGTGTTCCAGTCATAGTTCTCTCATTAATTTTATTTATCTATTTTTTTTTCCTCAATCAAAGCATCAAATATAGCACTTCAGGAAAAAAACAAACAAAACATTTTCCTTCTGTGAACAAACTTGGACACCTTACAGAGAAGTACTGAATGTTGATTCTCTTGAGGCGATGCTTCAATAGAAAGGTACTATCAGCTGTATATGTAAAGATTTCAATGAATTGATTTAAAAAGAAGAGGGTCGAAATTGGAAGTACAATTTCAAATTACAATTTTATTTTTACAACAATGAAATTGTTGAGATTAGGATTGATAGAAGTATGCAGTTGAAGAAAACTACATGACATGCAATAAAACCACTTTTTTTTTTGTAAAATTTCTTTTTTTTTTTGCCTTTATTTTTCAGACAATTGTCTTTAAGACTAGAGTTAACTTTATGTCTCTGAACTCTGAACAACTATCATTGACAGAAGGGCTCCAATGCTAAATGCTACACAGGATGACTTTGTGCTGCCTTTGTTTATACACTTTTGCTTTCAATTTTATAATCAGGAATGAAACCTTTTGTCTTTTTAGAAAAACACTTGTATTGTTTTCACATTTAAGTGAAACATCCTTTTCTGATGTTAAAAACGAATCATGGTAGAGCTGATAAATTCAAGCACTTTGTGTAGACAATTGTGTGTTTTAAAATTACAGATTTATGATTTTCTTTAAAGGCACTCCCTCTGATTCCCACATACTTGCTCTCAGTTTTCTGCCCCCTCCATCTTCCAGACATCACTGTGGGTAGTGATTTGCTCCACAAAAAGGATTGATGAAATGAAGGTGACTAAAATAAATCTCTAAAATAATTCTCTGGAGAAAGGACAGTCTTTAGAGCCAGACCTGCCTGCAGCTCAGGCTGAGGGCTGTTTTCAGAGAGAGGTTTCAGTAGATGTAAAGTGGTGTCTCTGGATCTCTAGTGATGGAGTAAGCAACCAGGATTGGCCTGGCCTTGCAGACTGTTTCGCCACTGGGCTTTGACAAGCAGAAGAGTATTGCTCAGAAGCTGTATCAATCTGATGGCCTTAAAGGGAAATCTAAAAGGATCATGGATGTGGTTCCAGGGAAAGCCTGATTATTCTCATTAGTCAACTGACAAAGTACTTCATATGACTAATGTGAAATATTACAATTTATAGAATGTGATTTTTGAGTAAACCATCACAGTGAACATGTCACTCAGTGTAAATACTGTAGGATGTAACTGTCTTTTAAATTTTTTAAAAAAGGGTCATACTCCAGCAGTAGTTTGGACATGCTTAATAGTGTCTGAAATTAAGAATACACTTACGTTATCAAGTATAGACATGTTTCAATTTAAACTCATAGAGAAATACATTACCAATACATTGTTCCAGGTAGCAGCACACAGTGAGATGTCAGCGAAGCTCCAATAAGCAGTCAGAGGGGTGGTTAGCTAGGGAACAACCTACTGATCTTGTTTGCTACAAGCATGCTCAATTGTACATGAGAAAAATGGGTAGGGATGGTCTAACTTGTTTCACTCGAAGAAGCAGCATCCTTTGTAGCATTATATAAAGTTTGAGCATACACTTGTTGCTAGATAAGGAATCCTTGATAAAGAAGCTCCTTAGTTACAGTGTACTCACACCCAGGGCAGAAAATACTAGGAGTGAGTCATCTATCTAATCAAGAAAGCAAGGGCAGGGAAAGAACCATGAAGCTTAAGAGCAGGAAATTCAAACTAAAATGAAGGCACACATTGTTCTGGTATGAGTGATTGAAACAAGCTATCAGGAGAAGTGATGGATTCTCCATCTTTCAATGTCTTCCAGAGTGGGCATGTTCTGAAGATTTTGTTTTGCCAGTTGCAAGTTACTCAAAGGACGGTTTGAAAGGCAGTAACTGATAAGCTGAAGATCCTGCTGCACTTCTTAAAGGTGAGACACAAAATAGAGATATGCAATAGCTTTTTTTTTTTTTTTTTTTTTTTTTGTGCAAAATGAGAGGAAAGAGGAACAATATGGACAACAGCATAAACTGAAGCCTGAGAGGAATTAAGATCCTATACAGCTATACATGAAACAAATTAGCTATGGAATGTAAATAAATACCTCATAGACCAATAGACCATAATTAGAAGGTGCTAGAAGGATGTATGAGTTTCTCTGTGCCTTACGCACAAGATCCTCTACTAGCTTAAGTGTATAATTATTCTGATGCAACATGCATAAAACAGAATAAATCCACAGAGCTGCTGCATGAAGACAGCTGGAGTACTATTTAATGACAAGGAACCCCTTCCAAATGGGAGGCTGGGGATATGAGACAAGTATTATAAACTGTGATGTAAAATGTCTCAGTGTCATTTGTACAACTAGAGCACAAGGCGTATGTAACAGGTGCCTACTTGTGTACACCTGCTTTCCCAGACAATTCACAAGGTTTTAAGGTGTAATTCTCTGACAGGCATGCTATATTTTCACCTGCTGTATAGGAAAGAGCTTGCTACCCTACCACAGAGAAAAATATGTACTTCAACATTGGGGTTCAACTCATGAGATAACCGTACCCTGCAGAGGTGGTAATAACATTTTAATCCAGGGGGAAATTACTGATGTGCAGCCCTGCCCACATCCACAGCTCCCCCATCTGCTTTGGGAAGGGATTTTGGCAGAGCTTCTGACATGGGATGGTTTTCAGCCTTCACAGGTAGGCAGCGAGAGTGGAATATCTGGTTGTCTCCTTGAAAATGGAAAACACGATCACCACATAGATGCAGCTCTAGGACTTTTTTTTTTTTTTTTTTTTTTTTTTTGCCAAGGAAATATAGAATCATAGAATTGTTTGAGTTGGAAAGGACGCTTTAAGGTTATCTAGCAGTCAACAGGGACACCTACTGCTAGGCCAGGTTGCTCAGAGCCCCATCCAGACTCACTTTGAGTGTCTCCAGGCACAGGGCATCCACCACATCTCTGAGCAACCAATGCCAGTGCCTCATGCTGTAAAGAATTCCTTCCTCATGTCCAACCTAAATCTTCCCTCTTTTAGTTTGAAACCATTTCCTTTTGTCCTGCCACAGCAGATCCTGCTAAAGAGTCTGTCTCCTTACTCATACCGTCCTCTGCATACTGAAAGGCCACTCTCAGGTCTTCTCCGAGCCTTCTCTTCTCCAGACTGAACAGCCCCAGCTCTCTCAGCTTGTCCTCAAAGGGGAAGTTTTCTATCCCTTGGATCATTTTTGTGGCCCTCCACTAGATGCCCTCTAACAGGTCAATGTCTCGTATCAAGTATTCCACATCTGGACCTACTACTCCAGAAAGGCATTACGAGATAAATAGAAGAGAGGGAGCAAGACTTCAGTGACTGAATCATAAAGCTCCAAAGTCTGTGCAAGGGCGGTAATCCAAAAGTAATATTTGTTTCTAATTTTGGTCTTTTTCTTTTTAATAGAATCTTTCTAATTTGCCTTTTTGCTTGTATTGGTAAAATCTTGTGGTCTTATTTTTATTTTATTTTATTTTATTGCTAAACAGGAGTCATCATTATTATTATCTTGCAGGGGATCAGATCTTTGTCATTTCCTTGGCATGACCATTACAGTGAAGCAATCAGGGGAAGACCACAGGCTACTCCAAGCTGTTACAGATTCATAATTATATAAAACCATATTGATTCTCCATGCTTTTTTTTTTCCCAACACCTGAGCTGTATAGTCAGCATAGTCAGCCTAGAATATAATTGTTTAGCACTGAGTTTAAATTGAAAGTACTGTAGCTTGTTTTCAATACCGTTTGCCCCGAAGAAAAATTAATAGCAGGAAATATTCACTCAAATATCCCAGAATTTGAGTTCTGTGTCTGAAAATTCGTGTTTCAGTCTTGAAAATTTATTTTGTGTCCCTTAGTAGATGGGCACTTTTTTGCAAGATACTTTTAAAAGAGAAGTTAGAGATTTTTTTTCCCCTTCTAGATATTCAGTAAGCAGGACTTCCTTCTAAAGCATTTTATCTTATTCTTTCTCCAAGCATGCCCTGTGAGCTATCTGTGCAACCACGCTGTCATACAAAGGGAAGATAAGGTGATAGTGCTCTGAAACGTTCATAATAAAAGCAAAAGCCCCTAATTCCCTGAGATTGGAGTTGGGAACTCTTTGCCTCTGTGAAATGTTAAAAGTTCAAACCTTTGACCAGCTCATTTTCTTGAAACTTATTCTCTTTCTGGTAAGCCTAGGCAGGCAGAGGCCTCAAAATCCTATCTTATGGGTTTGGGTTGTATTCAAAATATGACCAAGTTTTGAGTAAATTCCCAAGGAAAGCCTCACAGTCAATCTCCTTAAGACTTGGTTAGCTGGGGCCATCTCAGGAAGAAGAAATTAGCATTTGTTGGGCATTTTCCCCTAATTTACAGCTCTCTGGCTTTAAGGTGGTTATTGAAGGCCTACTCAGAAATGAGTCTGCTTCTCTGTTTTTATCGTTGTAATTCATGGGATGTGGTTCACTGGCAATGTATGTTCTATCGCATCTTGAATTAGGGAAGTTCTTAGTGGACCGCTCTTTGAATGTTGTCTGTGGATTCATATGAGTACATCCTTCCCTGAGGATGTACATAATCTTCTCCATTCCCATCAAGGAGAATGTGATTGCAGCAGAGTGCTGTGTGACAGATGTGGGTATTACAGACTGTCAGTGCTTTCTGAATGACTCAGGCATTAGTTTTCCCTCCTACCAAATACTAACAGAATATTCTGTGTGTCTCTGTGTTGTAAATTATCATCTTGTACCAATTCCCATTCATCCCTACAACGTATTTTATCCAGGCACCAATAATTGTGTGTTACAATGTATACAATTCTTCCTTCATTTCTTTGTCTGCTCATTTACTCCAGTCTTCCTTTCCCTGCTATTGTTGCAACTGCGTGCTTCTATTGGTTTTCAAATGGAAGTCCAGATTGCATTTATCAAGTATGCCATCCAATCTTTCATTTACTGCCTTTTAATGCATTTCTGCATTCTGCATTTTTTTTCTATTAACTGCCTTGAACCTCTGTGCCTTTTTATTGTATGTTAATGTAACAGTTCAAATCACACAGCTCATGGCTCACTTCTTCTTGGAGTCCATTCTTTTATTATTACAAATATGTAGCAAAATTGGAGAAGCACTCTGCCTTGCAGTACATTTTACACTTATATGAACATACAGTCTGAAGGCTTTTTATTCCTAGAGGTTCCACTTTCTTGTAATTCATTTTGTGCTAAGTAAAATGAAAGGCTATCCATTTTACCTCTGACTTGGAAACCAACAAACAGAAGGGAGCTGAAAAATGAAAGCAAATCTCCGTAGAAGTTTAAATGGCTTTTTAATGGAAGAGAACAGTAAAAACAGATAGCTTTTTACATCCAAATGCAAATGGAACAAGAGGAACCTAACGTGCATGTACATACATTTAAAGTTACTCTGTTAAATATAAGTCCTGCTTTCTCCCCATCTTGTTGAGCAAGTTTGTGCCAATATAGCAGAGAAATGATTCATGATTATTCTTGTGTATAAAGGCAACTCTCCTATTGCTTTCAAAATCTCGTTTTGTGGGCTTACTCAGAGGCAGAGGAGCAAGATGCACAGTCTGGGAAGTGACGCCCTCAACTTCTGCAGCGCACCTGCCCAAGTCCCATTCAGCATGTAACACAGCCTTGTAAATACTTAGCTCAGCCCAACCTCTAACTTCTTAAATATTGCAGCATCTAGCTTTTAATTTCAGTCAACCAAATCTGACAGCAGTAGCTGAACACTGGATTCTGTCTTCCTTATGCTGCAGAAGGGCTGTGGAACTACTTTGCAAGTCCTGCTCAGTCCAAAGTACAGACTGAATCTTAGTGTGTTTGTATCCAAGTTTCTTGCAATATGTGTGTACACTGGCAGCAAATGCAAATCTATCAAGTGAATTCCCTAATCCAGTTTAGCCCCACTGCTTACAGGGTCACTCTTTAGGAACAGTGTTATCACAAGGAGAAACAGGCCACTTGCCACAGATCCTGGCATCCCAACCATAGCACAGTTCATCCCTCAGGACATTCTGTATCCATCCAGCCATGGCCCTAAAGGAAATGTGGGGCAAGCCTCTTTCTAATTTCTAGTTTTTATTGTGGGTATGTTCATAGGCAAGGTAAAATGTATGGACTCCATCTCAAATTAAGACACACTTCAGACTCTCAGTATTGATCTTAGTCTAATACCATGCAGTTCCCCATATCTGAAGATTACCTAAAATAAGCAAAAGAACTCTTCTTTCACTGTGGGGCAGAGGACAGGGAACATGCTGTTTCTTTGTGAAGAGGAAAAAAAGGGATGTGGCTCCTGGCTCCAGTAAGGTAATACAAGAACTGAGCATAAGGGTTACTACTACATGCTTTGAGAACAAAGCAGTGGGTAAGATTTGTTTGCAGATACAAGGGCTGCTCTGAAAGTAATGCCTCCTATTTTATTATGTTGGCCCACAGTGTCAGAGGCAGATGTTGGTGGTATGGCAGTGGAGGTTGAAACTTTCCACCAATATTCAATTACATTTCATTGCTGTGCAACAGATGGCAGCAATGATGCAGTCAGACAAAATGATATCTTACACGGAAGTGTGGATGAAGCAAAGGTGTGTCACTGAATTACTCCATGCAGGAGAAATGACATCCATTAACATTCATTGATGTTTGCTGAATGTTTATGGAGACCAAACAGTGGATGTGAGCACAGTGAGGCTTTGAGTGGTGCAACAGTAGTGACAGTGACATGAAAGACAACCCACATTCTGGATGGCAATGCAGACTTTTATGAATGTGGCATGCAGGCTCTTGCTTATTACTGGCAAAAATGAATATGTATTAGTGGCAACTAAGTTTAAAAACAGCATCTTGTAGCTGAGAATTTTCTCTATCAAATAGTGTTTATGTGCTCTTTGTATCTGCTGTATTTTCCAAGGAAATAAATAGGAGGCATTACTTTCGGATCAACCCATGTATATTGAAAAATTGTGAACAGTCTTGAGTGGAAAAGAAAGTAAACCATTTGTGGCAAATCACACTGTGGAGGAAAACTCAATGCAACTGCCTATGTGAGGTGCCAACCAAACCAAGAAATAGACAGGAAGGACAATCTGAAAAGAAAGAGATGAACAATTTTATTTCCCAGTGGTTGCTGTTTCTGTTTCTGCTGTGTAAGTGACTGTTTAACTCAGCAGTCTGATAGAATGAAATTCATTTCAGATGAGAGCATTTTTCCACATTCTGAGTTTGTATTTACATTTGTTAAGGTTAATAGACCTGACAACTTTTTCGTGTTCTCACTATGGAGCAGTCACTGACAAACTGGAGGAGAGTCAGTAAAGTAAGCCAAGCCAAGCAGAAGGGTGACAACTGCTCCTTAGCAGCCTCCCATGACATGAAGCAGAAGGGTAGCCACCCCAAGGATGTATCACTATGCAGGATCCTCTTGCATCCCTTCAGGGAAACTTACATCTTCTGCTCCCTTTTCTTCTATGAATTACCTGTATACCAGTGCACACAGAAAGGGGAATAAATAGGAACAACCACAGATTTGTGTGTGGTCGTAGGGCCGTGGTCTCGTTGCAATCACAGAGGCATAGTGGGACAGCTCATATGACTGAAATGAATGGCTGTGTACTTTCCAGGAAAGACAAGTTAGCAAGGCAAGGTTGTGGAGTTGCTGTTTATGTGTGAGAACAACTGGGATGTATTAACCTCTGCCTAGGAATGAATAATGAATGATTGGATTCAATGAATGAGTGGATGAATGAGACATTTAATACTGTCTCTCATAATATCTTTGCAGGTAAGCCTGGGAAGTATGGGCTAGATGAGTAGACAGCAAGGTGGATTAAGAATTAGCTGACTGACAGAATACAGTGTTGTAATCGGTGACGCAGTGCCTAGTTGGAAGCCTGTAGCTAGCAGTGTTCCCAAGGGGACAGTACTGAATCTAGTTTTGTTCAACATCTTCATCAGTAACTTGGATGAGGGGATAGAATGCACCATCAGCAAATTTGTTGATGGTACAGAGCTGGGAGGAATGGTTGACACACCAGAAGGCTGTGCTGCTATTCAGTGAGACATGGACAGGCCGGAGAGTTGGGCAAAAAGCAATCTGATGGGTTCAGCAAGAGCAAGTGTAGATCCCTACACCTAGAAGGAAATAACTACATGCCTCAGTATTGCTTACGGCTTGATCTGCTGGAAAAGAACTCTGTCAAGAATGACCTGGGTGTCCTGGTGGACAACAGGTTGGCCATGAGGCAGCAGTGTGCTCATGTGACCAAGAAGGCCAATGGCATCCTGGGATGCATTAAAAAGAGTGGCCAGCGGGTTGAGAGAAGTTCTCTTCCCCTTCAACTCTGCCTCAAGGCCACATCTGGCATAGAATATCCAGTTCTGGGCTTCCTCAGTTCAAGGAAGACAGGGAATTTCTAGAGAGAGTCCAGTGGAGGGCCGCAGAGATGATGAGGGCCTGGAGCTTCTCTTTTAATGAGGAAAGGCTGAGTGACCTTGGGCTGTTCAGCCTGGAGAAGAGAAGGATGAGAGGGGATCATACCAATAATCTTAAATATTTAAAGGGCAAGAGTCAAGTGGATGGGGCCAAACTTTTCAGCAGTGCCCAGTGACAGAACAAGGGGCAGTAGGCACAGTGGAATATATAAAGTTCCATACATACATGAAAAAAAAAAAAACCTTCTTGTGAGGGTGACAAAGCACTGGAACAGGCTGCCCAGAGATGTTATGAAGTCTCTTTGGAGACACTGAAATCCCTACTAAGCAATTTCCTTGTAACCTACTGTAGGTAGGTATCTTCTTTAGCATTGGGTTGGACTTGCTGATATCCAAAGGTTCTTTCCAATCTCTATGATTTTGTAATGGAAACAGCATTCTACAGAGAAAGGAAAATCACAGAGCTCTTACACATTCCTTCCTAGTTGCAGTCCTTAGTCCCTGTTGGTGTAAATCAGCGCAGTGCTCCTGACCTCACCACAGCAAAGCTAATTTGTGCCATCTACAGTTCTCACTGTTTATTTTTGTTGTCTGTCATTCCCATGTTATACAGAAGTGCTGTTGGAGCCTCAGTCACCCCTGAATCTACTTTGTTATTTTGGAGTCTCTGTCAGCACTTTTCTTTTAAAGTGTTGCTGGTTTTATATCTCCTATGCTTGTACTGCAGATTCCCATCTTTAAGTACTTTACCTTCAAAACTCCATCTGCAAAAATCTATTTTGATAGAGTGTTGCTGAGGTGAGGTCAAGCAACAGATATCTTTGGCTACTTCTAAGGTTGCCTTTAGAAAATAAAAGAATACATTAACCCAGTAAATGTATCCAGGAGAGGATTAAATTTAATTTTAAGGGTAATATAGATTCTGGGGTAATGTGACTGTGTTCTTCTCATTGGCATCAGGGCTCTTAGGATATGTGAGTCTGAGACACTTTTCTTTCTTGCCCTTTCTAGACTCCACAGAGGACCACAGAGACAGACTTTAAAGAGGGAAGCAGGCAAATATGTCCAAGGAAGTAAGCTCACCTGAGCTGAACTGCAGTAACGGGCCAAATGACTGCTCCTTACCAAAGATAGATGTGAACAAAAATGCATTAGCTATGTTGAGGGATTTAGGGTAAAATATTTCATTTCCATCTTGAATAATGTAAATAAGGTGGGTAGTTACTGTGCCTAAGCTGCCCCTGTGTGAGCAAAATCTAATGATAGTTATCTCTCCCAGACTTCAGTACAAGGAGGCAGGAACAGGCAGGAGGTTGGTGAAAGTTTGGTGTGTTGTGCAGACTAAATTTTCAGAGAATTATCCCCAAAGTTTGCAAACTGTTTTATTAGATAATTTTATTCTTTAGTGCTCCTGCTTTCAGTGATGTCTGTTTCTGTCACTGCAGCAATCACCTGTGGCAAGATCTTTCATCACAGTGCTTTGACAGAGGCCTCCAACAAACGAATCCCTCCCAAAAGTGGATGGGAGTTAAAGCATTGTGAAGTAGTGAAGAGGGTAAGTCAGCCTTCATTAGCACATTGTATTAGCTTGTGTGACAGATGATTCTATTCTTTCCATGGCAGTCCCAGCAACAAAAGCTCCATGTGACTACGTGTTAATTGCAGTGGATTATTTGCAAACCAGCCTTCCACTCCTCATGCCTACATCATTTCTCCATCTCCAATTGCACCTAATATATCTATCCCCTACATCCCCTGATGCTTCGGAAGCCTAAGAGCAGAAATACCATAGCTTACAGTCATACACCTTTGCAATCTATCGTTGTAATCTTGTTTGCCATGTAATTTTTGTTCATCAGGAAGTTCTAGTGCACATCCTCTGCTTGAAGTTTTAATTTAGTTCTTAGTGAGACAAATCTCATATGGTGACTAATGTAGGAAGTGAGATTGGATAAAAGTCAAATAAGGTCTCAAAGGTTTGGCCTTGAGTGATGATGCTAAATATAAGTGCAGATAGGAAAGGTAGATGTGGAGGGAAAAGTTCTGGCTTGCAGAGAGATTTTCTTCAGGGATAAATAAATTCAGAACATTTTTAGATATAGCTGAATAGAGTATAATGCTGTATTTGTCCTCAGTTTTTATCACAACTGAGAAGTGAAAAATTGCCTCATCTGTAAGGGCTCTGAATATAATGAGCAAGAATGAGCTTCTCTTTGTCAGTCCTAATAGCTTTGCCTCTGAATGGACTGCAGGACTGGGGGAAATGTCGCTTGTTCCAGCAGTTACAAAGTAGCACTAGTTAACCACAAGTTTATTCCCACAACTCAGCTAGTTAGTCAGAAATAGACAACTTGGTATAGACAATGGTATGCTGTGGAGCATCAGTCACAGAAATATGTGCAGCTATACATGTACTTAAAGAGCTGCAATGTACGTAAATCCATTTGAGAGGACAAGAAGGTAAAAAAAAAGACAGGTAGCCTATAAATATAGCTGCTTGTTTGGCTGTTGTATTCCATCTTTTTAAATATATGAATTAAGGCTTCAATTGAACTAAATTTTGCATAAAGTAACACTAAATTTTCTTGACATATCTGCACTAATATATTAATACATACATATAAAATGAAGAAAATATTATTATATATTCTAATATTATATACCATATTCACTGAGAGGTGAGATTTCAGTTTACAAGTTCATCCTGAGCAGAACAGAAGACGCTGAGTCCCAAACCCTCAGGTTTATTTAACCTCTAAACTTGCATAGCAGCAGTACATGTTCTTACACACCACTAGATGGTGACTTCTGTAATGAGTTGTTGACTTTCATCCTACAATATATTTCTCTTGTTATCAGAATGGAGCAGAAGCATGATTTTACTACCTGTATTTTTTATAATTTCCCTCTAAATATATTGCTATAATCATTCTGACAGTTGGAAGAATCTGGTGGATAGCTATGAAAAGAAAGAAGGTGAATCATCCCTGTCAATTGTCTTTATCATCTCTGTGCAATTCAAAAATATGTATGTTTATTAACACAGACTGTATGATGCCACATACAAATGATCAGGCCACAATTCATTTGCCTGAGACAGAAAAAAATAAAAATAATAATAATAATAAAAAATCTAATATCTTCATTCAATTATGAATGCTACATGCATAATCTTTAATTAAAAAAGGGTAAGCCTTCTTGCATCAGGCAAAATGTCTTCCTCAGCATGTGCTGTTTCCACTCAGAGCAATCTCTCATGTTAGCTATCTGCTATTTAAAAGGCTACTTCAAAATCCTGCTTGGCACCTTTCCCTACATGGCTGCAGTAGCAAGATCAAACAAAAGCAATTTGTTTGTCAGCTGAGGCTCACTCTTCAGTTGGACAGGAATCAGTCTTATCAACAGGCTGTACCAAAGAGCCGTTTGCCACTTCCCTCTAGTGACACTTGTTGCTATTAATACCCTTCACCTGACATAAAGGGTTAGAAAGCCTTTATTCCCAGATATGTGGTGAAAATTCATTGATGACTATACTCCGAATAACAAAAATAATATTTCTTTCTGTCCTCTTAATGCATTATTCAGATTGGAAGCCACTTATACCTGAGTTTGACTCTTTTGTACATCATGCTTTGCATTTCTGCAAAACTTTCTAGAGCTCTGGGGATCTCTCTGGTTGTTTAACACAGGCTGCCAATCTTTATCTTAACAACACCAAAACTAATAATAATGAATTTATTTAAGTTGCTCCTTATTTAGCAGACTGTAGCATATGATATGGTTTTCAAAAGCATCTGAAGAATGAGATGCTCTTAAATATTCTTAAATTCCTGATAATCAGACCGATTCAAGGAGGTTTAGAGCTTGTAATCACAAATCACTTTTGTTCTATGCAACTGATTCCCTTTCTGTAAGCATTCAGTGAATAGTTTGCAATGGATGCTTCTATTATAGCTTGAGAATTGTTGCCCAGGATTGTGAAGAGGTATCCCATTGCTTTACTTGTACTATGATGGCACCATTACAGAATGCCTGCTCTCTCCACCAAATCAAATTTTCTTTTCTCATCAAGTAAACTTTAGCCTACAAACTGGAATTTGTTTTCTAGGAGCATTAACACAAGCTAATTAGTCTTGTACAGGTGTTTATGGAAAACCAAATCAGGGCTTTACTGGATCAAAATATGTCTGAAGAGCCACCAAGGCATCTGAGAATTTGTCTCCAGGTCTTTACCTACCTCTGAAGTTGATCCATCTATTAAAAAACAGATTTGTACATGGCTGGACTCCAGGCATTTTCTGGTACAGTGTTTATTAATGTCTTTCCAAGATGAAACATTTCTGAAACAAGATTAGCATCAGTATTTACAAGCAAAGGGCTAGCTCTAGAAATAGCTCAATCAAAAGATGTCAGAGAAGGCAACTATTCATGGGAAATTATTTGCAAAGGATACATTCTTCCTTCCTTAGTTATGCTTAGAGTTTTCTTCCCAGCATCAGATTGACTCTCTAGTTATAAGCTTAAATGAGGAAAATACATATTTACCTTATAGAACACAGCTCTCTATCTTCTGCTTCCTTTCTGCCTGCAAAGCTGCCTATTGATTTCTTAACTTGTGTATTTCTCATCTATTGACTAATGACAAAGCCTTAGCTGTGTCAATGCTGTCAAAGCAGTGTGTGTTTATGCCACACTGAAGTAGAGATAAGAGGAATTATACTTTTTTTTTTTTTTTAATTGAAATAATCTCTGTCTGTGTCTTGCTAGGAAGAGGTTGCTCTTGAAATCAGCTATTTGGGGTCAAGGGGGATGGGAAGAGTTGTCATGGAAGATCAGGATGTTTGGAGATGCACAGGAGTTATGCTTAGACCTTACATACTACATTAGCCAAGGACTAGTGATGTCCAAAATATGAGTAGAATTTTTATTCTAGCCCTCCATTCTTGCAAAGTGTGTTTTTAGGGAGATTCAGCTGTCCTTTATTTTCTATTCTGAGGATACAGTTAACATATTGGGCTTTTGGATGAGTTTTGTAAATGCAGTACAGTTGATTTGCAGTGCCCTGCTGTGAGACCAGTGACATCGTAACCTGAGCCCATTATGTGACCAAAACAGGCTTCAGGCAGAGCGTGTGTCCTCTGAAGCAAGCTACCAAGAAAAAAAAAACACCAAACAAATAAGTAAAACAAAACAAAAACAACAAATCTCAAGCACAATCCGAAAACAAGAAAACAACTGCGTAGACAAAAAATGAAAAGAAAATGGTGGTTATTGATTGTGTGGTTTTTAACAAGAGGTTTGACGAGACCCTAATAATCTCATTTCATCAAAACTTATCAAACAAATGTTGAACCCTGTGACCAAAAATAAAATAAAATAAAAAAACAATATTTTAGAGGGCTATAATCTAATCAAGAAAATGTTCTAAATCTGACTTGCTTTTCCCAGCTGGTAGTTTTTAACGAAAGATATTCTATGGTAAACTATACATGTGAATGCCTTTTAAATAACTTTCAGCTGAATAGTTAACTCTTGTAGAAAATGTGCGCAGCCTAACTAGAGGTCATGTGATTTTCTGTTTTCCTGTTGTATAAAATATCTGGAAAAAAACCAATGTGATACATTGCTCCTACTGATGCTGTACCCTGTCCCTTCGTTTAATTACTGCAATTAATCTTAATCTGTCTTTGTTTGGCAACAGCTAGGTTAGGAATGCTTATCTGAATGCTTATAATAGAGATGGCTGTTTTGATCGCTAAGCTCACCATCTTTACTTTGTCAGATAAAAATATCCAGCATTTTATTGCAATCTAAATGGGTGCTTTATGGTTCTGCAGATTACAATTGTGTATTACTAAGTAAGAGGCAAAAATATTTGCTACAAAGGAATATTTTTGTAAACAGTGTAAAAATGAAATTCAGTGTCCAGAACATTTAGCACTGTTTTGTTTGTAAAAATGTCACAGCTGCGTTTCACATTGTATGAAGCACTCACATAAGCGTTTAATTCACTTATATATCAAGTTACATAAAAGACAATGCAGTAATTAGGTCTGAAACAGATAGAAGGTCTACTTTAGATAATGCACTGTCACTAAAATAGCATATGCTGGCTTCCTTCAATTCTGTATGTTTAGTCTGTAAAGCTGTAGTTTTGATGAGATGACAGTTACTGAAAATAATAGAATAGACAGGATTTACACAAACTTTTCTGAAACAGAAGCTCTTCAGTTTTGCCTTACTGCATTTTTATAGGCATTGCAGCATTGTCCACTGTCCATAGAGATCCACATAGAATTTATTGATTGTAATTCTAGGAAAACACAATGAAGGAGTAGCATTTTTCCTGAAACAAGTTTCAATTTTTTTGTGGACAGTCAATGAGTGGAACTGTACCTCCCATAGGCTGTTGGACACCTCCACTTTTCTGGTCTCTTCTAGGTAAAGATCAATCAAGTGGGTAATCCAGCCAGTGTGCCCCTACTGTTGATCATGTGAAGAGCAAGACTGTTCATGCATGCAGAGGACTGGGTGCTCTGTCTGGATAGTCACACCTCCAAAAATAAGACTTTCTGAGTAGGCATTCAGCATCTTTGTAAGCAAAGAAGGTTCTTTGGCTTCCACTCCAATGCTTTTTGTTCTTAGAGCCCAATTAAGCCAAGTTCTCTGACGTTTCTGCTAGTTAACTTCACAATTCAAAGAACAGCTGGTCTCACAACTGGTATAGCAGGCCAAAACCAAGTCAGAGCTTCACCTGGAAGAAAACTGGAACGTAATAAAGCACTCTGCAGCACAGGTACTGCCTGATATTTCATGGCCAGATCTCCCACATGGACAGATAAACACAGCTTCTGCAGATTTCGTTAACAACCTTGTTAAGAAAATACCAGGTGGTGGTGACAAAGGCACCAGCTATTGCAAGCGCTGCAGAGTAAAGTGGGTCATGATACATTTACCATTTCTGCCTGTTACACTTATTCTAGGTTTATTGGAACACAGGGAGTTCTTAGACCCTGGGGTATGGACAATTTTCCTTGCAGAGTAACTGCTTGCCTGACCTCTATTCCAAAATTAAATTAATTAGTAAGTAACCTTCTGGATCCTTTGACCTTCTGTATGTCTAATATACTGATGACCAGTAGTGCCTCACACACTTCTACATGCTTTTTAATATTCACGAGTTGGGCTAATTATGCCCATACAAAGCAACTAAAATCATGACTAGTATTGGGGAAAACTGAAATGGATGCAGGGATTTGCTTGGAAAGCACATTAATGCCTGCAAAATCTATGTGCTGAGGTCTTCTAGTGAGGGATTTTGCATTGAATAGGTCAGCCAGATAGGGGTGAAGAAATCCCTCTTCATAGTTATATCCTAGCCCTCTTAGCAGCAATCTCTTTACTTCAGTAGTGCAGTCACCTAGCTCAGACCATCACTCAGTCTCAGTATGAATGAGAGCAGATTAGAAAAGTGGCTGTAGCTGTAATACCCCTCAATTTCATCAGCACAGAGTCACCCAGCTGTGTCTGGGCAGCCATTGCTTGCTCTCTGAAGGTCTAGTTCAGCACCAAGAGTACGTATTTATGTTTCATCAAATAAACCTCAGTCTGTGGTTGCAAGATATCCTCCATGGGGAAGCAAGCTGAAATCATTCATATGTGCATAAAATGACTCTGTGAGTGATTAGTTCAAATCAAAGCATTTTGAAAGTGAGGCACAGTGGTTTTGTTCACTTGAGGAAACATTCAGTATCTACATATTATTATGAACAAACCTCAGCAGATTGTAATTACTATTTTCCTCTCTTATTGCTGTGGCAATCAGGAGCAGTGCAGACAGAGAAATTGTCTGTGGCCCAGAGAGCTGACAAGCCCAGCATAAGACAAGAAATAGCAGATGAATGTGATGGATGTGTCAAAGTTCTCTCAGCACCAAAACTAATCACAGAATCACAGAATGGCCAGGGTTGGAAGGGACCTCAAGGATCATGAATCTCCAACCCCCCTGCCACATGCAGTGCCACCAACCTCCATGTTAAATGCTAAACGAGGCTGCCCAGGGCTCCATCCAACCTGGCCTTGAACACCTCCAAGGACGGGGCATCCACAACCTCTCTGGGTAGCCTGTTCCAGTACCTTACCACACTCTGGGTAAAGAACTTTCCCCTGATGTTCAACCTAAATCTCCCCTCCCTCAACTTAAAACCATTTCCCCTTGTCCTACAAGTATCAACCCTTTCAAAGAGTTGATTCCCCTCCCCTTTGTAGGCTCCCTTTAGGTATTGAAAGGCTGTGATGAGGTCATCCCACAGCCTTCTTTTCTCCAGGCTGAACAAGCCCAGCTCCCTCAGCCTGTCCTCATAGGGGAGGTGCTCCAGTCCCCTGACATCCTAGTGGCCCTCCTCTGGACCCTCTCCAACAGCTCCCTGTCTTTTTTGTACTGTGGGCTCCACACTTGGGCGCAGTACTCCAGATGGGGCCTCACAAGAGCAGAGTAGAGGGGGACAATCACCTCCCTGTCCCTGCTGGCCACCCTTCTTTTGATGGACCCCAGGATACCATTTGCCCTCCGAGCCGCAAGAGCACACTGTTGGCTCATATTAAGTTTTTCATCTATCAGGACCCCCAGGTCCTTCTCCACAGGGCTGCTTTCAAGGACCACTCCATCCAGCCGTATGGATGCCTGGGATTCCTCCGGCCCAAGTGCAAAACTTTGCACTTTGCCGTGTTGAACCTCATCAGGTTCACCCGGGCCCACCTTTCTAGCCTCTCGAGGTCCCTCTGAATAGCATCCCTTCCTTCAACCATGTCTAATGACTAAATGCTTCTTAGTTTGTCTTTGTCTGTTTGTTTTAATAACACAAAAGAAACTCTCAGTTTGGTTTGAACACGATACTGTATCTGGCCTCAAACTGGTGCCTTGTTATGGATACTTAGAAAAGATGCAAAGAAAATGAAGAGCAAAGTTTATCACAATGCTGCAACAGATCCCCGTGTTGACATCTCTGACCACTGCTCTGACCATCTGCTCACAAATATGCATCTCCCTGGCTGGTATCTGATTCCTTCTTTTCCACAACTTTTAATTTGGAGGCTCTCAGTTTCTTGGTGTGATACTGAAGTAGGAACCAGCTGCAGGATCCAAAGACCCAACAAGGGCTTTTGTTGAAGCTATTGCTTCCTGGGAACAGAACAGCAAAAGCAAGCTGTGAAACCATGCAAGGCATAGGGATTTGTCCTATATATTTGTGTTATAGGTTAGGCCAATAGTGTTCTTAATCAGAATTATGAAATGAGTAGAAATTAGATATCCATCTATGGTTATAGAATCATAGAATCATAGAATCATCTGAGTTGAAAGAGACTCTTAAAGGTTACCGAGGACTGCTCCTCTGCAATGAACAGGGGTCACCTACAGGTAAATCAGTTTGCTCAGAGACCCATCCAGCCTGACCTTGAGCATCTCTGGGGATGAGCTCTTCCACCAGCAACATTGCCCTTATCATAAAAAGCTTCTTCCTTATGTCCAATCTAAATTTCACCTCTGTTAATTTGAAACCATTTCTCTTTTGTCCTATAACAATAGACCTTGCTAAAGAGTCTGTCCCCTTCTTTCTTACAGCACCCCTCTAGATACTAGAAGGTTGCTAATCTTCTCTATTACGGCTCTTTTTCTTTATATCTCAATTGTGCTGCTAACTACAGGCAGTATGTTCATTTAGCACACCATAGAGACATGTCCCTTTGTTCAGTTTACAAATTCTTTACAAAGAATGTGTTTGTTTTTGGATTTCTTAAACAGCTCATTTTTTCAGGAGCACATTTGAGTTCTGGTTTGTTTGCCAGCAGTTTGCAATAAGCCAAGAAAGAGCAACAACATATAATCAAATCCATTGTGACTACGTTAAGATTACAGTAGAGAAAGAAAATTAAACAAAATATTGCACGAGTACAGCTAAGAACAATGAAGATATCTGAACAATGTCATAAACACTTATTACTACTTACATAAGGACTACTTGTCTGCTTACTCTCAAGCTTGAGACTGACTTCCATTTTAAGGCTGCCCTCAGATAAGGTCATCCCCTGTTAATATGAAATCACATCAAATATAAACTTGTTTGTTTCTCAGCAGCTCTCAGCAGAACTGAAACCATTTCTAATGTGGCCAAACTCTTCCTTCAGTCCTGACAGTGGACAAATATCAGAAAGAAAAATGCAAGTGAGATGATAAAACTGTAGAAGAATCTATCAACCTTGGAAAAAGCAGGTATTTCTTCTTAAAATAAGAGTTAATATGGATAAATTTATAATTTAAAGTCATTGCTGTAAACATACATAATGGAGAACTAGCATTTAAAAAACATTCACAGAGACAGTGTAGAAAAAGAATACAGCTTTCTTCTTGATGTAGGGAGGGAACAGGCAGAAAAAGCTAATGTACTGCATGTGAATGGTCTTGTGCAGGGAATGCTTTAAAATTTTGTCTTTCTCTGCCAGCATCTTTTGATGAAATTTTTTTTTAGTGCACTTCAGATTATTGGGCCATAAAGCTAATTGGACTTTGTTCAACTAGCTACTGTGCCATTAGGACCAGCCATTTTCCCCAGGTTTAATTTGTCAATTTATCCAGAAAAGAATTATTCACAGTGTTCTTAGAAGAAAGGATTATATTTCAGTACTTCTCTAGAGAAGACAGCTGAGGCAGAAAGAGGAGAGAGACAAGAGAATATATGGCATGCTGTGCAAATGATATGGTTGTCCTTTCTTCTCTGTGTAATTCAGTTCTCGCCAGATTTCAGCAAGCAGGCAGACAGGCTATACTGTTTGCCTTTCAGAGCTGATGGTTTAGAAATGCCATCTATCACTCTGCCACAGCTCCAAACATGGCAAATGACTCCCCCAGAGCATGCAGCTCTGAATAGCTGGAAATCATTACTTTCTACCCAGAATCTCCCTCTGCTCATTTGGCCTTTTTAGGTTAAAGAAAACTAGCTAGCACCATAGCACTAAAACAATACCTACCTGATGGAGATATGGGTAAATTAAGCTTATTGAGGCTTATTGGACCAAAGCTGGTGCAAGTATTTCTGAATTTGTCCCACAGCCATACCAGGGGCATTTCTGCCCAAGATTTCTGCTCTCACACATCCATTCAGTAAAAATTAATCGGAGGGCCGTTCTTACTCTTCCTAGGCACAGCCCTCTTGATCACAGCCAGCACTGACACTGCCTTCTGGTAGTAATCTCAGTGCCTTTGAAAATTAAATCATATGGAGGGCTGCTGGGTTTGAAACAGTTTCCAAGGTGTAGAGCTTCAGCTCTTCCATTCAGAGTTCTGCCTGGCCACGTGGAGCTTGCAGTCTGCACAAGCTCAGTATGCTGAGGACATTGGCAGCAGCCAGAGCTATCATCGTATATTCCAGACTTGTGGGAGCACTGGGTAGCTAGTGCCTGGTAGAGAGTCTGGTAGATTGCCCCCAGAGAGACCCAGCATTGCAGGCTGTAGAAGAACATAGATGAGGTAAAAAGATCTTATGACTAATGGAAAGTGGAGGGTATGGGGCTTCTACTCATGCACCAACACATACTGCTGTGCTCTTTGACTCCTTCACACTCAGACTTATTTGGTGTTCCTGAGAGTGTATAAATTTGATTAAAAGTATTGAGATAAAGCCTGCCACGTGGAATCAGACTGCTGAGACATCTGTACCAGTATCCAGCTGGCCTGGAAAAAGGGCTTACAAAACCCAGTAAAAGGCATGGAAGGGAAAAATAATCCTTCCTAGCTGCTCTCTCATAGGGATTGTGTTATAGTTGAAGCTTGGCTGCTATTAGAGACTATTCACAATTTTTTCTTTTGCAGGGGGTGGAGTTATTTGTAGCATTAAGAAAAGTAGCTAGTTAATGAATAATATTTATGATGAGAATTAATTTGTGCATGTGTATGTTTGTACATTTTTATGGGTATGATCATAAGCATCCTCCTCCAAAAATTTGGCTCAACATAGACATACAGATACTATATATGGTGCAACACAGATTCTCCTATAATTTACTCTGGAGATCTCTATCTGTCTCTGTCTTGATACATCCTTTTTCTTCCCTTCTCTCATAAGGCTTCAATAAAAGCTCCAAATCCAGAGAAAGATGGTGATGCTGTACAAACATTTGAAATGTGAAAAGAAGCGAAAGAAAAATAGTTTCTCTTACCCAGAGCTGTGAGGGATAAAATGAAGGCTGATCAGTTCTGTGTAAAGAAGCAGAGATTCAGGTCAGGTATAAACTTTTCTCAGTGCTAAAGCAGATCAGGCTGTGGAATAAACCACCTGAAAAGATCACTGAGCCACATCAAAGGACGGATTTTGAAACTGGAGGCTTTGGAAATTAGGATTGCATTAGGATGCAGGTGAAGAACTCCAGTGAGGCTGGGTCAGCCGCCTGACCCTGACACCTGCATCTTGGGTCAGTTTTTATTTCATACGCCATTTAATGTGACTTGTGGGTGATCTGGATGTAATCAAAGCTTGCTGTGCATATTCTACAGCAGTCTCATATTTTGGCTAAGCTTATGCAACAGCAAAAGCCATGCTCCTAACTCCTTCCCTGGGCTGCACAGACTCAGTCCCTGCCTGCTACGCCACTGTCAAGCTGGAAATGGGCGCTCCATCACAGCTGCTCTAATGATACAGTCTCATTCCCAATGTTCCACCCAAATGCTTGCACTGGAAAGTCTTTGAAAGCATGTACAACAAAGGAAGGGGTGTCTGCAGCACCTCAACATCAGAGCTTACTTCTGCTCATGAAAAATGGAAGAAGTCTTTACTGCTATCAGCTGGTCACCTGCCAAATGTTGCTGAATATGTGGTGAATGGTACAGCAGTAATAAATAACAACGAAGGTACCTAGTAAAGAACTGCTTAAAACTTGTGAAAGGTGGAATTGATTGTGTTAGGACAGGTGGACATGAAGTTTTCCCAAAGTATTGTCCCAAGTACTGTAAACACTTCAGGCAGAAAGTCTTATAAGCCTTTCTGTTTTCAGATCGATTAACCATTTTACTGCAGGCAAACAGATAAACATGTCTTGCAAACACTGTATCTGGCATAGAGGTTTGTAATGAAGACAGTGGGTTCCTAATCTTTGTGCCAGGTTGCTTCAGGCACTTTTGGAAGAGATAACACCAATGTATAAATAGTCAGTAAAGAGGGCACACAGGGTGGTAGTCTGCAGTCTGTGGTTATCATGCTATGTGCATTGCTGGCTGCTGCTCTTTTCAGGGATGTGCTGGTATTAATGCAGTTGGTCTCCTAGGCTGGGCATTCAGCACTCTAATTTTGGAGAGATTTCCCTTTTTGGCTTGTATTGTGTTTGTACTGAAATTCATCATTATATCAAAAGAAAAGGAATTACTGGCAAGAAAATAACTTGAAAGGTTCCAAATGGTTTTCTGAGAAAGAGGCTGTGCTAAAAACAAATAGCTATTTACGTACATGCATAGTGTGAGGATTATCACCCCAGGAACATATTATATAAAGCAGTCAAATGTGGAGCGCACAGCTCCACACCTCTATGTGCCACAGTGGGAATTAGATTCCTTTCCCCTCAAAACTCCTCACTATGCCAGAGAGAGGGGATCGGAAAGGCAGCTCCAGGCACTAAATGAGTTGCACAACAGCCATCACCTCATTCTGCTGGGCTGCAGAGACTTTCTATTTTCAGCTTTTCACTCCTGTAAAGAACACATTTAAGCCCGAAGAAGATTGAGTTGCCATAGATGATCAGTGCCTCACTTGAGCATAGCTGTGGGCCTTTCCTATTTATTCTACCTTGTCCTAGGGAGAATAACTCTTGCTAGAGAAGAGCAGGGCTGAGTCCATCACATCATTAATTTTGCTTACTAAAATAATGTGCTGTTCTTCTACAATAGAAAACCTTAAGTCACACAGTCATCTAGAAAGCAAAAAGAAAATGTAATTTATGTATCTCTTGTCAAGTTGTACTAACTGCAGACTGTTGTGTTCTCCTTAGGATCAGAAAAAATAGTGTGAATAAATATTCAAGAGAAACAGCCATGCAGCACCTTGCAGTTAAAAGGTTGCTTTTAAAAACTGAAGGAAGAATACATTCTGTGTATATGTATATGGAGCAGAGCAATATAGCATGATTCTAGCTGAATCTAACCAAGAAGCCCCAGTTACTACATTATCTGAATGAAACACCTCATGCAATATGCCTGAGAACACTTTCAGCACCTGTAGATACAGATATGTGCATATCAAGTTTATTTGAAGAATAATTAAATTGCTAACATCTTCCTGGAGACAGATTTCAGGGGCAATAAATTACAGGGGCCAGCAGGTGATTAGAAAGCTAAATGCTGTCCTTTCCAATTGCATTTATTTAACTAAAAATCTCTTGCTTACAGGGCATTGGAAAGAGGGAAAGTGAAATCACAGCCTGTTTAAAAATGCTGGGCCCACAGTGCTTGACTAGATCTGAATAGATGTAACTGTGTCCAGGCCTGGAGCCCCCCCGTACAAAAAAGATGCAGAGCTCTTGGAACAAGACCAGAGGAGGACCACTAAGATGATCAGAGGGCTGGAGCACCTCTCCTATGAGGAAAGGTTGAAGGAACTGGGCTTGCTTAGCTTGAAGATAAGAAGACTTTGGGGTGACGTCATTGTGGTCTTCCAGTAATTGAAGGGAGCATTTAAACAAGAGGGGTAATGACTGTTTACGAGAGTGGATGGTGATAGGACAAGGGGGAATGGTTTTAAACTGAGACAGGGGAGGTTTAGGTTAGATATTAGGAGGAAGTTCTTCACTCAGGGTGGTGATGCACTGGAACAGATTGCCCAAGAAGGTTGAAGGCTGCAGAGTAACCTAATTGCAGCCTTTCAGTACCCAAAGGGAGCCTATGTACAGGAGGCTCTTTGAAAGGGTAGATAACAGCAGGACAAGGGGAAATGGTTTTAAGTTGAGGGAGGGAAGATTTAGGCTGGATATCAGGGGGAAGTTCTTTACAGAGAGAGTGGTGAGGTGCTGGAACATCTGCCCAGAGAGGTTGTGGATGCCCTGGATGGGATCCTGGGCAGCTTGGTCTAGTATTAAATGGGGAGGTTGGTGGCCCTACCTGTGGTAGGAGGGTTGGAGCTGGATGATCCTTGAGGTCTCTTCCAATCCTGGCCATTCTGTGATTCTGTGATGGTGTTGTGGATGCCCCATCCCAGGAGGCATTCAGGTCAGAGCTGGATGTGGCTTCTGGGC